ACTATATGGTATGGCATGATATGCATTGTTAGGCAGAAAAATTTGTCTAGTTTTATTACTATATTCTTACTTTTCCACTTCCCCATATTAAGTTACTTTCTCATCTTTAGTACCATGGTGGAACAAATTTCGGAAGAACATCGGGTGGACCATACATTGCTATAACATATGACTACAATGCTCCCCTTGATGAATATGGTAAAGTTTTAATTACTAGACTTTAATATGATGATGTTCTTATTTTGATCTATTGATACTAATGCAATTGTGGAAATGGTTTAGGCAATGTGAACCAACCAAAAGTGGGGGCATCTAAAGGAACTCCATAACCTCTTATATTCTTTGGAGGATGTACTTTTGTATGGCAATGCAACCAATACTGACTATGGAAGGATGATGTCTGTAAGTGTTATAATTCATTATATTTGTTAATTCTTCCAATTTAATTTTTTTTCCAATTTTAATTAATGAATCTAGTGACATCATTCTATACTATGTTTTTCAGTCAACAGTGTATGAGTACAAGGGGAAAAGGGTATGTTTCTTAGGAAATGCAAATGACAAAGATGACATATCCATCACCTTTGAAGGCAAGAATTACACCACTCCTGCATGGTCTGTCACAATTCTCCCGGACTGCAAAACCGAAGTTTATAATACAGCCCGGGTGAGTAACTTATTATGAAGCTAGACATCATCTACTACAATATTCATGAATGTAACTAATAATTTTAATATATTTTATTAACATTTTTTGTTGTAGGTTAATGCTCAAACAACTGTGATGGTGAAGAAGTTGAGTGAAGGGGCATTGAAATGGTCATATAGACCTGAAACTGTTATGCATCTCAAGTATGGTAACAAAGACCAAAGCTCAGTATTGATAGATGCTCTTGATGCCAGACAATTGTTCGATCAGAAAGTTGTAACAAATGATACTACGGATTACTTGTGGTACATGACAAGGTATGTATATTTTGCATTTTTTTAATATTTTGTTATAGGATTGATCACTAATTGATTAGTATTTGTTTTAATTTGTTCAGTTTCAAGATAGATGAAAACAACACAGTTTTGGGTCAAGAGCTTACTCTTGAAGTTAATACCAAAAGCCATGTCCTCCATGCCTTTTTTAACAACAAGCACATAGGTTTTGAGTGGGCTCAAGATGATGGAAAGTTTACATTTTCATTTGAGAGGAATGTTAAACTTTGAAAAGATATCAATACAATTTCTTTACTTAGCGAGACTGTCGGATTACCAGTAAGAATTTTTTCATTACAACCATTAATTTTTTAAATAATCTTTTTTTTTTTCCCTAATTCTTCATTGTGTTTTCTTGGTTGGTAGAATTATGGACAATATTTTGAAAAGGTAGGACAAGGAGTTATTGGGCCAGTTAAGCTAGTTGAACCAAACGGTGAAGGAATGGATTTATCAAAGAACACATGGACATATATGGTCGGACTACATGGAATTTCTAAAGGACTTTTTAAACTTGATGAACATAATAAATTAACATGGCACAAATCTGACTTCCAAACAGATCGAATGTTTATTTGGTACAAGGTAACTCATTCCAATCTATACCGTTAACTACGTTACTCGATCTCCCCATTCTTAACACATAACTTTTGTGCTCATTTTGGATCTTGCAGACATTCTTTAAGACCCCAGCAGGTGAAGACTCTGTGGTGTTGGATTTGACAGGAATGGGGAAGGGAGTTGCTTGGGTGAATGGATATAACATTGGTAGATATTGGCCATCCTTCATTGCCAAAGCCGATGGGTGCCCTCAATGTGACTATCGTGGAAACTATGGTGGATCAAAATGTGTAACCGGTTGTGGAAAACCTTCACAAAGATGGTACCATGTTCCACGTTCCTTCCTACGTAAGACAGGGAACAACCAATTGGTTTTGTTCGAAGAGATGGGCGGTCGTCCTCAAGAAGTTAGGGTGCAAACCGTGACAGTAGGAACTATATGTGCCAATGTAGAAGAAGGAAAGACATTGGAATTGTCTTGCCAAGGAGGAGGTAGAAAGATCTCAAAGATCAACTTTGGTAGCTTTGGTGAACCAAAAGGCAATTGTGGCTCCTTTGAAACAAGCCATTGTGATGCCACCAACACCATACCAGTGATTCAATCAGCTTGTGTGGGGAAGGAGAAGTGCACTCTCAATGTCTCCGATGCCCTTTTTCCAACCACAACATGTAAATCCAAAATCAGAAGGCTTGCTATTGAAGCTACTTGTTAGTATGTTGGCTTAGGTTAGATTTTGTTACCTCGTTTTATGTTTAGATTTTAGGTTTTAGATTAGATTAGATTAGACTAGATTTAGTCTTTTTTATCCATATATTTTAATTCAATAATATATGGAAATTATTATTTAGTTAATTCAACATTTTCTCTACTTCAATTCAGCTATTCTTGTGCTACTTCCAAATGAGGTCATATAGCATCTCAAGCTTTAAATGTTTCCAACAAGGCCATACCCTTTCACTCTTAAGTTAATCCAGAATTGTGCTCACAAAATTTCTCGCGTACTCCATTGTATAGCCAAAACTCTTTAACATAGTGCACTCTATGAGCTTACCGTTCATCCCTTGTCTATGTCCTTTTTGGGTAGAAAAAGTCATAATTTAGAACAAAATTTTGATGAAAATATATGTTGTATGTTGTCCTAGTCAAGATGCAAGAACTAAAAACTACAAAATCATATGTACCTGATTGTCTCACTAGCGATCGTTACAAGAGCATTTACCGTTCAAGAAAGTGAAAATCGAAGTATCTCTAACATGTATATCTCTCTATTGCTCTATTCTTATTTTTATGATTTTTGAATTCAACCTATTTTTTCATCCTTAGTATCATGGTGGAACAAACTTTGGGAGAACATCATTGCCACAACATATGACTAAAAATGAACCTTATGTCTATCGTCCATCTTGCATTATGGATCATGGTCCATGGTATAAAGATCGCAAGTTGAGCAACATTCAGGGTGTGTTTGGTTGGAGATTTTTGCAGCCTACTATAGATTTTGATAACTATTACCATATTTGTTTGCCTACTTGTGTTATCTTACTATTGGATTCAAATTCTTTAATAATTACAAAACTCGTTACCTTTTTACTCCTTTTCTACTTTTGAATAGTGGAATCAAACATAAGGAGGAAAAAAAATAGTAATAATAATAATAATAATGTTAATAATAATTATTATTACTAATTTTTAATTTACTAACTAAAATGTAAGTGAAATCAAATTTATTTACTCCATATTATATTACTCTATATAATATCTACATATATTATTACAATTAAAGATAACAAAATGAAAAAAAAAAAAAAAAAAAAAAAAAAAAAAAAAAAAAGATAATCGAAGTTACAATTTTTTTGTCCAAAAAATTATATAGTACAACTTTTATATATAGCTTAGTTAATGTATCAAAGAATGTAACACAAACATGGACATATAAATGAAAAGTACCAATCTTCATTCACACTTTTTAGAATACACATGCATATATGCATGTGTATATTTATTTTTATTTTAATTAATTAATTATTTTGATTCCAGTTCATATTTATTACCAAACAAGTATTTAAACTCATTACCCTTACCAAGTATTTTATTCCTATTACCATTCCGATTTCAATGTTTGAACAAAACAGACTCGCATTTTTCATCCTCACGTACGAGTATATGTGTCTGTGTAAATTTGTTGAACAATGGACTGCTAACAATGAGTCGTTATGTTGTGCATCCGTATGCACCATGCATGGTGCACACGGATGTAAAAATGACGTCGACTTAAAAAAAATCAGAATTGCATAATTAACTACACATCTATAATTTCATAACTATACATTCAGAATTGCATAACTATACATTCAGAATTGCGTAACTATACATCCAGAATTGCATAACTACACATCCATAACTTCATTACTATACCTCAAGAATTGCATAACTACACATCCATAACTTCATTACTATACCTCCAGAATTGCATAACTACACATACATAACTTCATAACTATAAATCCAGAATTGCATAACTGCATAACTATACATTCAGAATTGCATGACTACACATTCATAATTTCATAACTATAAATCCATATTTGCATAACTATACATCCATAATTTCATAACTATACATTAAGAAATTATGCACAACATAATGTTGTTGATGAGAATCGAAACTGAATTTTTTTAAAAAAAATTAGATGCACGTTTTTGCATCCGGATACACAGCATGATTTGCCGCTAACAATAGCATCATGCAAATGTTTGAGTTTTAACATTGTTAATTGTCGGCAAAACTTCACTTTGTAGACATTTTGCACGGGTCAAATCACATGTACCTATAAAACTATGACAAAAACAGTACAAAAGTTTAGCATGCAAATTTAGTAGGAATTATAAATTTATAATATTGTGAATAGAAAATTTACACAGAAAATTCATGATTCTACATTTAATCCAACCGTTTATAAATCACCAACTAACCAACCTTTAAATAAGCGCAATAAATGAGAGATATTATGATTGAAACCAAAAATGGATGGAAGAAAACTATATAAATTAGATGTCATTATTACTTTATCTTTTGCATTTTTTTTAGGAGGTACTGATTAGTGATTACTGAAGATAGGGGAGGGCCATGCCATATATGGATAGAGGAGGACCATGCCATCTGGTTATCGCTAGAAACTTCATGCCTTACAACTCTTTCAAATGGAGCATTTTCCAAATTCATTACTTGTTGAAGTTGATTGACACCAACATATCGTACCCCCACTCAATGTTCAATAATATTATTATTTTGATCAACTTGTTGAAATTTGTAACAAGTGTTGTTTTTCAACCACTCAATGATCATTTCAGGCCAAACAAAAATTAATTGTAGTATTTTACTAAATATTATATTTTATGTTCATTTCAGGCAAAGTTTCAAGTATATGTAGTATTTTACTAGATATTAAAAATATATATAGGAATAATCAAGTTGATATTAAGCACATAAAGTACTTACAGCAAACCATATCTCCTTCATCATCAAAAATACAAAAGCGAAGGGAATTAAACAGAACAAAGCAAACAAAGTAAAAAAAGCAAAAGATACAAATAATAATAACGACCATCATATCAAAGAAACAGCACAATCATGGCAACCCCAGCCCCAGCATGCATAGCTTTCTTAATGGCATTCCCCATCTTTCTCTTTCTCTTTCTCCTTTTCTTCTTCAGTCTTTGGGTGGTACCCAGGCAGCTTTTCCTTGATCTTGTCCAAGAACCCTTTCTTGGGCTCCCCCTCGTGGTGGTGCTCTGCTGCCGGTGCCGGAGGAGGCGGCGGAGCAACTTCTTCCTCCGCCTTCTTATGCCCTCCGCCGGGGAGCTTCTCCTTGATCTTGTCCAAGAACCCCTTCTTCTCCTCCGGCTCCTCGTCGTCGCATTTCTCCACCGGAACACTGGTGTCAACTTCTTCCTTTGATTCGCCGGAGAGTTTCTCCTTGATCTTCTCCTTCAACCCCTTCTTCTCCTTCTTTTTCTTCTTGATCACTCCATCCTCCTCGTACTCCTCCTCGCTCTGCAAAACAAGTTCATCCAATCAAAAAAAAAAAAAGAAAAAATCCAAAGATAGAGAGATCGATGGATATAAGACTTACAGAGCTACTAGAACTGCTAGAGGAGCGGTGGAGCTTTTTCTTCTCCTCCTTATGCTCCACCCCATGCGGCGGCTCGGAGACATGAACCTTCTCCCCAAACTCGCCGGAAATGGCTTCCTCCTCCGCGCAGTGGGGCTTCTTCTCCTCCTCCTTCTTCCCCAAGAAGTCAAGCAACCCCCTGTCCTCAACCACTTGCTCCTCCGCGGGCTTGTTATGGTGGAACTCCTCCGCCATGGCAAAATCACTCAACAAAAAAGGAGAAAAATATGAAAAGATTGAAAGAGTTCTCTAATATATGTTTCTACAATAATATTCTATGCTTGGATGTGAAGGTGGTGGAAAGAGTTCTCCAATGGGGGCTTTTATAGGGATCAAGAACGCGGACGTTACGCTCTTAAGATTGGGGAAATATTTTATTTTGATTTTCTAAAAAAAAAAAAAAAAACCAATCAAACTTGATAGAAAAACAAGTCATCAAACGCTGTCAAGTGATCCAAAGTGTGTAACTGACGATTTGAATCGACGTGGCCGGTTAACGTTTGGGCACGATTCGTTACAATTCAATATGTACGATCACTAGTCTTTTTGCCGACATCTTACATGGCATGGCCCACTTTTGGATTTCAATTTACCGTTCTAAATAAGTGATCACATGATCGAACTTTGATGGTAGAATATTATTTTTAGGCTTAAAAAGATTGAGAAAGTATAGAATAGTTGAACAGATGCTACCTTTGTAAAGAATCACGAGTTTTAAACTTCAATAGATACATTGACTCTTTGTGCTTCGGTAGATTTAGAAAGTATGTATGAACAGATATTACATCATAATAGAGTCAATAGTATTATTAAAAAAAAAAAAAAAAAAACTACATTCAATATCTTAGAAAGAAAGAAAGGAAAAAAATCAAATTTACAAAATATTACTAATTACTAACTATCTTAATTAAGAAATAAAAATGCTTTTTCTCTTTCACATTATATTGATGTAAGATCGCATCTCATCAATCAAAAAGTAACGCATTAAGTCCAGAAATCAAACAGTACACATGCACCTGACCTGGAAGTAAGACTGTGTGTTTAGTGTGATTTTGTGATACTGAAACCGCTACTATTAAATGAATCATAGAAATCATGTAAAAGGTGAAAACTAATGTCACGCTTTGTTTCCCGTGGTTGAGATATTAACATTTGACTAGACCCCTAAGTTGTTATTTATATTAGAAATTAAAATGCCAAGCATTTTATGCTCAGATGTCACCTATGTGATTCTTCTTGAAAAAAAGGTCACCAGATCGAACCCCAGTGGTGAAGTATTGATTCTTTGGGCTACAACAGATAGAGAAACACTTAGGGAGAGCATCATCTCTATCATCTGGAATGGGGGTACTTTACCTCGCTTCACACCGGGGTGGAGCCTTCGCTAGGGTGTGAATGGCGAATTATATCGTGCACCATGGCTAAATTGAAACGACGTCGTTTTGTATCTGTTTTTTTTTTTTTTTTAATTTCGTTTCCCATTTCTGTCGTTAACGTCTATAAAAAAAAAAAAAAAATCTCCTATTTCAAATGTACATAAGCTCATAACAGAATACATATAAACTCATAACATAATACACATAATCTAACATAATACATAATACACATAAACTCTTAACAGAATACATAAACTCTTAGCATAATACACATAAACTCTTAACATAATACACATAAACTCTTAACATAATACACATAAGATCTTAACATAAAAACGACGTCGTTTTGAGCAGGGTGCACAATGCATTGTGCGCCCTGGTGCACGATATAACGATTGGGGTGGGAATAGGCCAGGCCCCTTGTAGGGGTCTATGTTCTGGCCTAATTAAGGCCTAGTTAGGCCTAACTTGTTTAGTAATAAGGTCAGGCTTAGGCCGAATTCAAAGCTTATATATTAAACTAAACAGGTCAGGCCTATATATAATAGGTTCGACCTTCAGGCCTACACGTCTGACCTATGTATAGTTCTGACCAATCCTCCGGGCGACGTGAATGATATCCTAGAACGTAATATTAAGAAGATTGCAACGAGAAAAGTTTACTACCAGAGACTAATTCTACTTAAACATATTATCATTACCAAGTATTTGATTTCATTACCATTTCGATTTCATTGTTTGAACCAAATACACCCTAAATATGTATCATTTGTTCTTAGGGCATTGATTTAGTGAATGACAAGCCTCATTTAACACATGCATGTTTCCTGTAATAATATTGAAGTTTGATTCTTGCCACAAATATTGAGAGTTTGAATTTGGACCGAATTCTTTGTACGCATAAGTGTTAAATCAGGCCTTAGCCCTACATGCACTTAAAATCTTATATACACACTTTTATTGGTCCCTACGTTAGAAAAATAATTCGTTTATCAATGCTTGCTTAAAATGATGGATCGGACTACAAATTGAGAGTAGTTGTAAATTGTAATACTACTCTTCTTGAAATTATAATATTAGCAACAAAAGTTTGTTTGGGGGACGGAATTGCATATTAATTAAGTTTGATAAAAGCGGCATCATTTAGGTGTACTGAATCCACCATGAATTATAAATAATTTAGGTAATAAGGAAGGGGAGGGAGTCACGGCTGTCACGCTGTCATCTGACCCCTACAGAGCCAGCAGAATCTCGCCACGTCGGACAACAACGTGAGTGTGTGCACGTCGATCGGACATGACATACAATTTTTTTTTTTTTTTTTTTTTTTTTTTTTTAGAATGACATACAAAAATTATTGAAAAATAAAATGTTACGAGATAGTTAACATTTTTCTAGTTGATAAATTCATGGTAGGATTAATTAATTTAGGAAAGAAAGTTAATGAATAAATATCATAAATAATATCATGTTAGAATGTAATATCATGGTGGGATGAGAAAATAGTTTTCAATAATTATAAAATTGATTATATTTTTTTCACTAAAATCTTCAAACAATTAATAAATTTCGATAAACGACTAAATCAGTTATTACTTTATATATAACTTTACATACGCCTTTCAGACATTTTTTTAATTCTTGCAAAGCATAATGTTGTACCCTTCAGAGCATAATGTTATGCCTTTCAGAGCACACTGATGTTTTCCAGTGCACATTGTTGAGCCTTCAAGAGCACATTGTTGTGCCTTCGAAATGCATATTGTTTTGTCTTATAGTGCACATTGTTGAGTCTTTCAAAACATATTGTTGTACCTTCCAAAGCACATTGTTGTGCCTTCGAAGTGTACATTGTTGAACCTTTCAGAGCGTATTATTGTGATTTCCAGTGTACACGGTTGTGCTTTCTAGGAGACAAATTTGTTTCTTCCATGATTTGAATAGAATGCAAAGACAATCAATCAGAGATGATTTACTGAAGAAGGTAGTGTTGTGTAGATTAAAAGCACTAAATTTTTTTAGAGCAATTAATCTGAACAGATCAAAGGCTTAAATTTCTCTTCACTTTCGCACCCGAGCCGTTTGTGCACCACAACCTATGTATATGTGCGTGTGTTTAGTACATAAATTTGGTTAAAATAATTAGTTATTTTACGCCAAACTGAAATGGTCGGCCTTGATTGGATAAAGGTTTGGTGGGGCCAAGGTCGGTGCGTGAGCAGATGAACACGTAACCGTAGTTTAGAGGGTGGGACCAATTTCGAGATTCCCAACTTCGTGAATAGGCATCTATTTATTTATTTATTTATTTATTTATTTATTTTTGGTGTGGGTCCCCATCACTACCTTAGTAAACACAAATCAGTACACGGGTGGAGCCCACTGCATGACAGAAGGTCGGTTTGACGTTCTTCGCCCAACCTCCTTGCGATTTTTAAGGCCTTGGAAGTGTAACCGATAAATTCCTTTAATTTCCGAGGGCCGTCCAATATTATTATTATTTTCTTCTTCTTATCGAAGTTTCTCACTTTATCAAAGTTTTCAGCAATCGTTATACCCTACACCACGGCGTGCGTAGTACTGTGCGCCGCGCGCCTTCCAAAACGACATCGTTTTGGAAGGTGCGGTAGGAAGTTGCTGTGATTATGTATATTTGTTCACATAATTATATATATTTGTTCATACAATTATGTATATTTGTTCATACAGTTATGTACATTTTTTATACAATTATATACATTCTTTTTATACAATTAAGTACATTCGAATCAGAAAATTTGTGTGTTTTATGTTAAGAGTTGATGTGTATTATGTTAAAAGTTTATGTTTATTATGTATTATGTTAGATTATGTGTATTATCTTTTAAAAAGAGTATGTATATTTTGTTATATAATTATGTACATTCATGTATACAATTATGTGTATTCTAGTATAACATTATGTACATTTTTGAACATGGGTTTTTTTAAAAGAAAAATTAACTGCCATACACTGGGGCGGGAAATTTCAAAAAATAAAAATAAAAATAAAACGACGTAGTTTTGCATCTGGGCGCACAATGCAACGCACGTCGTGATATAGGATATAAATTGCCAGTTTTCAAAGCGTAATTGGCGAGGATCGTGTGAATTTAGAATTAGTCTAATTTAAATAATGAAACTTATATATATATATTAGTTCAAATGCGAAAAATGCATCTCGTGTGATTGGTGCGGTGCGGATTATAATCATGTATATATAAATATATCACAAAATATTTAGAAATGCATCAATACATCACAAAACGCACCACACACCAAAAATGAACCACACCACACAATACTTAATTGTGCATTCCCAAGTGTTAATATACTACATAGTTTTCAATTTCAACTAATTTAATCATTGAATTGTTTAGAATTTCGTCAATTAAACCTTTCAAAGACCAAATTAATGAAATTTTAAATAATACGTGAGACATTGTCGATTTAAATATACTGTAGCGTCAATCGGTAATTAACATACAAAAAGAATGCACGCTCCGTTAACATTATCGGTGCGTCATTTCTTTACTTAAAGAAACGATACCGTTTTGAGGGTGCACCGCGGTCCACGATATAACGACCCAAGTTACCACATTAGGGTTAAACATTGAACTATAATGTTTTCAAGTCAATTGGGCTGTACATACATTTATGTCAATTAGGTTAATTAGTTGAATTGATTTGGACCGATTAATATCAGTTACCAAGTTTTTGCCCAATAATCTAATTGTTCCATTTGGATATCGATTTGGAATTAATTAGCCCAAGGTTCAACATATGTATGGATTGGCCTATGAATTCATAATCAACTTTAAGCCCATTACTTATATTGCGCCAAATTGGCAAACCATTTTAGCATTCGTTATACCGTGCACCACGGTGCACATAGCAATATGCGTCCCATGCCTCCTAAAAAATTACAAGAAAGAAAGAGAGATTTTGAGTGTATCTTTTTTTATTGTAAACTATTCTACCTTTTTTTTTTTTTTTTTTTTTTTTTTTTTTTTGGTGAACGGGCCTTAATTCATTAAATCATCAGAGATCGACGCAACAAGAAAATGAGGCGGCACATCGTATCACTCCTTGCAACCTGACACAGAAACGGCCTCCCGAGCTAGAGTATGGGTTGCACGATTCGCAGATTGCTTTACAAAATTAAAGTTTACCCCATCAATCAAAGAGACAACTTCTTTCACATCATCCACTAAAAAACCAAATGCAGAAAAAAAAATGGAAAAAAAGAGCAAAATAACATAACTGGGAATCCATCTCAACATCTACATCTCCCATTCCGGTATCTTTTAGCCAGCTCAGTGCTTCCCGAATACACACCTTCCACCACACTATACTGACCGGCCACACAGCGATTCTTTGCTGCCATAAACCGCCCTTGATCATCATGCAACACCCACCCCAATCTCATTACACTGTGTTCACCATCCAAAGAGGCGTCGGTGTTCAATTTTATACGTCTGGGAGCAGGCACCTACAAACTATTCTACCTTTTAAAAAGCAGTACATTAGTTTACCATGCCTATAAACTCACTGTCAATTGCAATTTTCCCTAGGCACAACCGCTTCTCTACTTTGTGCATCTGTGCTACCCCTAGAATAATCTCCATTCTGTGTATTAGGTTGTGCACCACTATACTTCATCATCAATAATTGACCCCAATTTCCCCCTCTCCTCAACCCACTATTAATCCATCTAAATCAACAGAAGGAAAAAAGAGAGAAAAAAATAAGAACCGAAAAAAAAAAAAAAACAGCGTTAATAAACTTACCCATCCAACGAAGCCCTCATCTTGCTGCATTGAACTGATTCGCCGGCCATGGCGTCATGGTTGAATCAATTGTTTGAACTATCAATGCTCCTTTGGTTATGTTGCTTTTTCGTCTGGACACTTCAAAACGGTAGTCAGCAACAATAACCAAGGAAATTGAAGGAGATGGGTACGAGAATCGCAGAGCTTCCTTCGAAAACCATTGCACGATCTTACGTTTTTACCTCCAACTGCACAATTTGAATCATTTTATCGCCTCCAACACCCGATTTTTACCCCGAATATTGGGCAATCTCATCCGTAGATCCATAGTCCTCATGTGGCAACTTGACCTCACTTGATCCTTATCATATATATATATATATATATATATATATATATATATATACACACACACACACACACACACATTAGTTAGGGCATCCTCAATAGTGAGGATCTTGGTGTAGTTTTTGGAGGTGTGATTGGTAAAGAGAAACGAGTGAAAAGGAAAAAAAAAAAACAAAATAAAAAACTAAAAAAATCCCTGCAACCCCCAGACCCCCCTCCCCCCCCCCCCCCACACACACCAAAAAACCCCTGCAACCCCTACAAAACCCACAAATTAGCAGGACCAATCCACCCCTCTCTCTCTTCTCTCCTCTACATACCTATTTTTTTTCTTAATTCTTGTGCAAAACCCCATTGTTGGGGATGCTCTTACAGGGCGTTTGGTTGGAGAGAATTTAAATTATATTCCCACTTAATTCTCACCTAATTCCAAAGGCCACTAAAATCCTTAACAGGGCGTTTGGTTGGAAGGGGGGAATTACGTGGGAAACGAATTGCAATTCTATGGGAGATGAATTACTGGGAATAAAGTAGGAATTTAAATTCCAGTGTTTGGTTTACGGGAATATAGTTACTGAAATTTTTCATTCTAATGTTTGGTATACATGGGAATTGAAAGGGAATAAGTAGTATAAAGTCCAAAATGCCAATTATTGTTGTGGTATTAATTTTAGGTTAAAAAAAAGAGGGATAATTTTGTCTCATATCAGGGGGGCATGAGATTTTAATTCCATGAAAATGGGAGAATTGCAATTCCTTCCAACCAAACTAAGGAATTTTATGGCCTTTGGAATTAAGTGGGAAATGAATTTAAACTCCCTCCAACCAAACGCCCTGTAATTTGATGGGAAGGAATTACAATTCGACGGAATTGTAATTCTCTCATTTTTCATAGAATTAGAATCCCATGCCCTCCCTTGTCATTTTAATTCCATGGATTTTAGGAAGAAAAAAAAATAATGATGAGACAAAATCACCCTTCCCTTTTTTTTTAACCTAAAATTGATACCTGACAACAACGAGCATTTTAGACTTTATACTACTTATTCTTTTTCAATTTTCATGTATACCAAACATTGGAATTGAAATTTCCAGTAATTTTATTCCTATAAACCAAACACTGGAATTTAAATTCTCACTTTATTCTTAGTAATTCATCTCCCATGAAATTGCAATTCTTTTCCCACGTAATTCCCTCCCTCCAACCAAACGCCCCGTTAGTGGTTTGGTGTTTAGGATTTGTTTTGGCTGTTTTAGATTTGATTTTCATATGTTATTTTGTTAAAGTTATTCCCTCGTGTTTCGTTTGCGAGTTATTTTCTCTCGTGTCTTTAGCGAGTTCTTTTTTCATAAGGTGAATCAATTTATTTGATAATGGAGTATGTTTACTTCATCCCGAACATTGAAGAAGATCTGAACTTTGATATGCAGTTTAGATTAATGGAGATATTGTCTATGGATAGAAAAGCCGCAATAGAATCAGACTTTGATAGCAAGATCATTAACAATATCAAAGAAGCTTCAGGTTCTCTAAACGAATTTAACTTCAATCTTGAAAAACAGTCAGAAATTCAAGTTTCGTGTAACATTAGAAATTTGTTTCAGTATTTGATTATAAAAAATGTTTTATTTGTGGTATAAAATATTAAAAAAATGATGTTGAACCAAAAATAGATAACTGGTCAAAATAATCCATAATTTACATACATAATATTAGATAGATCCAATATGTATGTATCAATAAAAATGATTGAAATTGATTTGCGATCTACTTAAAAACAGTAAAAAAAAAAAAAAAATGAAATGAAAACAAAGTAAAAAAGGAAAGGAATAACAGAATAATATTAGAAACTCAAAACGAACGTCTTCCCTTTTCCTTCTCGTTTCTCCAAAATCACTTCAAATTCATCTGTTGCTTCATCAGCCATCGTCTCGTCGCCGGCGGTTCGGATGCTCCGATTCTTTATGCCAAATCGGTACAACCTGGGGAAGCGTATAGATATAATATATACATAGAGGGAGAGAGAGATAGGGATTAGAGAGGGAGTGGGGTGGAGCGGCCATGATAACTCGATCGAATTTGGCGGAACAGCTGAGGGAATATCAGATTCGATCGAAACATGATTGGGCTTCCGTCTCTTTCTTCTCCTCTACCTCCAATCTCACTACTTCCAGGTACATCGTCATAATCATCAATCTGTTTTATTTTTCTGGACTTTCCCATCTTAATTAATTTTTTTTTTTTTAAATTTCGATGCTTTGCTTTGATTTTCGATGCGATTATTGCTGGATTTAATTATATTGGCACTTGAGTTCATTTTAGGGAATAATTCCATTACGTTGAAAGCATTGCATCTATTTAAATCATCTTAGGGTTTACAATTTGAGCATTTTAGTTTTGGGGAAATTAATTGACTAAATTTCTTTAACCATTTAACCCAGCTTGATTTTTTTTATTAGAAAAGTTTATATTTGTTGTGTACATTTTACTTTAATTGTAATATTGAGTTTTGGGTTCATGAATTACTTTAAACACTTTGGTGTTTTGATGTGGGATTAGATATAGGAGGAGGTAGTTTTCATTATAGGTTACTCTGCATCCCTGTTATCTTTTACATTGTTATGCTTTAATATCAGCTTATATACAATATTCTTAAGCTATCAAAGAAAAGAGCACAGCATAAAAGAGGCTTGTTTTCCTGTTCCGTTTGGGGAACTATAGAATGTAGAAAGCATCTAATTATCTCTTAGCATTTGTGAAATGTCAGTACATAACATAAATTGCTACACTATTTATTGGATGGACTAGCTAACATGATTTCAGTGCTCATAAGTAAAATGCCTGTTAGATGCCCATATTATCTTTGATTTAAAAGGTGTGAGAGTACAGCTTATCGGCTTGGGAATTTACCAGTTAATCAAATGATGATAGTTACAAACTCACTTCTGTCACGCTATTTCAATCTTCTAGATATCCATCCTTGGCTTGAGTTCATGCCAACTGTTTTTTTATCAAAGGAGATCTTTTTACTTTTACATTGTGATTAGTAGTTTACTTTTTGAGGCGGGTTAAACAAGAAGAAAATCACAGACCACTAGGTCATTAGTGGGCTAATTTTATTAAAATCCAAGCTGTATATACATGGAGGTGGGTATGGAACTAGCACCTTATTGACTACTTAAGACATAAGATTAACATGATTTCCGACGAATATCTACCATTTTTCATAATCTTTCTTGATGCAACTATAGCTGGGTTGGCAACAGGGTTTTACAGAACTTTGGTGAAATTCTGACGGTAGTAGAAACCTCCACTTCCTGTATCTAGAATTGGATCCTTCCAAGGTGATTAGACTTTCCATTAAGTCTAACAATATAAAATTTTCAAAATTGTTAAATATTATTTGAAGATTTTATGTATATCTTAAATACTTTACAGAGTATTAAATACTCCCTTTAAATCGTACAGGATTAAAAAAAATGCAGCCAAGCTCACTAGCATTCTAGCCAAACTATGACATTATAATTCAAGCTTGGTTACTGAAGGAATCAACTATTTTCTTGAGATTCTATTATAAACTAACTTGAATTGACACCATAAGTTAAGCCTGAATTGTCTCTGTAACTGTGTTCCCCTACTTTCATCCCTTCCGATGGTTTATCCAAATGGGTTCAAAAGAAGGGATTGAACCTCCTTTTTTTTTTTTTTTTTTTTTTTTTTTTTTTTAAATCTCTATCTTAAATACTTTACAAAGAATTAAATATTCATTAAATCATACATACAGGATTAAAACAAATAAAGCCAGGTTTGCTAGCGTTCTAGCCAAACTATGACATTCTAATTCAAGCTTGATTACTGAAGGAACACTATTTTGTTCGAGATTCTATTATCAACTAACTTGAATTGACCCCATAAGGCCATAAGTTAAGCATGAATTATCTCTGTTCCCCTACTTTCACCTCTTTCAATGGTTTATCTGCATAGGTACAGGATGGGTTTAAACTTCAACTTTTTTGTCATCATAATTGGTATAGTTAGACTAATTACAATGTTTTCAATTCTGCACATTTTGAGTAATGTATATCTGGGGGTAGTGGTAGACCAAAGTTTCAACATCTTTAACTACGTTCCAGTGTTGAATATAACCATCAATTTATAAAAATCTGTTTTTCATTTGAAGTGTATGCTTTTGTATCACCTTTGCCACTGATCCTGTTCCAATGGTTGAGATGAGGCCCCTTGACCTTAAGGTTAGGGGTTTGAACCTCATAGGGTGCAGTTCTGTGTGGAGTATTTGAATCCCTCTGTATTGTGGGTATATAGTCTCAGTTTCATTTTGGGGTGTTGTAATCAGTTACTGTTGATTCTTATTGGTGGTTTAGATATTGTAAATGGTTGTGTATTCATCAATTGATTGTAATTGTATTATATTCTCATAGTACCAAAAAAACTGTATATATACTTGTAATTTCTCTGTATCCAACAGGAATTGCTATCTTTTGGTTCATTTACACATCTCTTTTCTTTTCGGTGCAGGGTGGATGTCGTCATCTTTGTAATATGGGAACTTGTCATTTTTGCATGCGTTGTTTTCACCTGTGTTTCACTCTATTTAAGCCATCTAAGGCTTGCTTTGATCTTAATATGCTTTACATTTCTGCTGTTTATATGCATGAGAATTACAAAGCAGATTAGGCTTGCCCGGAAAAAGAAGCGAAGGATGCTACTACCATTATCAATGTAGAATTCTAGGGAGGGAATATTCTTTAACAATGTACCCCTACTAGGGTTATGTAAATGGTGAGAAATCTTGGCCACTGCTTCTGCCAACCTTTTGTTTTTTTTTCCTGGTTTCTGTGTATTTTGCTTGAGACAAGCTGATGGAAGGACATATAGATTATATGATATGACTCACTGAGAAAATTGCTTGCAGATCTTGATTTATACATTCTAGACATTTGTTTGGATTGGGTTGCACACTTGCACTGTGATTTTAGCTGTACTTAATTTTTTTTTTCTTATTTATATATATTTTTTAGTGGGATACAGTCATAAGAAATACATTTAATTTTGCATATTTCAGACAGTATATATATATATATATATGTATATATAACTTGTAGTTATTTTGTCTCACTGGGGCTTGAAGAAATGGACTTTAATCCCTTGAGTTGCTATCATCCATATAGCACCAAACACCAGAAGAATGCTGAGAGCCAACCCTAAAATCCCAAGAAACCAATTCACACCCCACATTGCAGTGTACCTTTTGGGCGTCTTCATCATTATCCACATCAAACAGGGATATGCCAAGGTGACCGGCAGCGCAATCCCGCCGATCAGCCCTGCCAGACTGGGCAAGAACGGCAGCGCCACCGCAATGAAAAACGCCAGCCCCCCGAAGAAGAGGCGGAGCGCCGCCCTAAGCCACCACGGGCATGGCCTATTCTTCTTGCTGGTGTATCTGAACTCCAGGTTATCAAACACCGGCATTGCATATATCTGGAAAGAGGTGAGGCTATGGATCACCACTAGCAGATTTATTATCCCTAGTGTCACCTTTGATGTTTCATGTCCATGGTACTTGTCCAAGGCCGTTAATATCCCCCCATTTGTTGGCATCTGTCGGAAACACAAAAAACACCAAGACTATAAATAATAATTATGGCATAGTATTTTAAGATAAGTTATAAGTTTGATATCTGATTCTCAATATAACTAAATACTTTATGGTATATCTAGTTGTACTGGATACTAAGTTATTACCCCTGATACTGATTGTATCTGATACAATCAATTATAATATGTCTAACTGTACTAGGTACAATCAGCGATGCGACGATCACATGATTTTATGGAGAAATTAAATAAAATAGGTAGCTTCATGGGTAAGAAAAGTATGTAGATATTTGGGGGGGGGGGGGGGGGGGGTATTATTGATGATTAATCCCAACAACCCAACACAATTTGAGGCTATCTTTTTAATTGTGATTAACGTGTAAAGTAAAAGCAAGCATTTATGTATGGATAGGAAAGTGTTTGGGAGCTTACGAGGTTTCCATAAGCCCAGTAGCCTCCTATTGCCAGGGGAAACAGACAACATGAGATGATTAGATATGACACCTTAACCCCTCTCCACATTGGTAAACTCGATGGATGCTTCATACTAGACGGCATTGTACTCTGCATTTATTAAATTTTCATTTCATATCATATAAACTTCATGGAAAAGAAGAAAATTAAACACACTTTACAGTGTTATGAACACGACTTTCAATAAAGACTTTGCAATCCAATTTATAATTCTAGAGAAATGCAACTCAGTATCGTAGGTAATTTCATTTGTGTTGCAATCCAATTTCCTAATCATTTCATTTTTCTTTTTGACCATTTTTAACCACTAAATTAAACCACCCACCAAATGCACTATGTATTATTATTTTACTTAAGTGTCACATTCTTATGTTTCTTCACGGGTGATGTTACGCTTCAGTCAAATTTAACTTATAATTGACACTATTTAATTGAGTGTAAAATAAATATATAATTTCAAACCTGAATCTCTAGAACAAGATTATGTCCCCTGAAAGTGAAAGCTATGATGCCAAGAGCGTTGAGAATGTTGCAAACCCTTCCGACCGGGGAATCCACTTCCACCGGATCATACGACACGTCGCCGGGCCGGTGTTTGACGACGGACACCGCCCATGTCACGGTGCAGTAGGCGACGGCGGAGATGGCTCCCACCAGCGACACTCCGGCGATGGAGTTGAGGTTGGGAAGCTGAGCTAGAACTATGGACGACGTGGTAAACACGGCGTACCACTCTAACGTGGTCAACGGATCGCCGCCGCCCAAGATTTTGAAGAACATCTTCATGGACCCGGCTCCGATCATTATCAGCGTCACGCAGGTCCCGCCGGAAAGGTACATGGTCGGAAACAGTGCCAACGCCTTCCCAACTTTCTCACCTTCATTATATAATATAATAAACTCATATGAAATAAACCAATTTTGTTGAATCCCCAATCCCAATACTCCCACGCCCGACCCACCCAACAGAATAAAAGAATGTAAATAACTGTAACTCAGTAGCTTAGCAGACCAGATCAAATTTTAGTGCACACAAAAAATCTGTCCACTCTAGACATAATCCTCACACTGCAGCTGAACATTGATCTCACCTTTAAGTATTGTCTACTGAAGAGTAAGTTAAACTCATGCAACCCACGATTTAATTTACAATCGTTATTTTGTGGACCAAGGTCTAGATTAAAGAAAAAAACTTGTAATCTCTTCTCTATAAAGAGTGGGAAATGTTTTTACTTTATGGAGAAGGGTAATGTACGTATAAAATGGAAGTATATATAGTGATAAGATAATGATTAATGTTACCAAAAGCATATAAGATTAAAAGTAGATGTGATGCATAGTGAGAGCAGTGAGAAATTAAATAAAGTGGGAAAGATGACTATGAGTGACGTTGGCAAATTAAAAATATTGTATTCTTACCAAAAGCCGCCATTGAAAGGCGGAGATAGCGGCCATAGCGAGTTCCTGCCACTGATTCATGGAGTTGGATGAGCAACCACAGTGTATAGAGTTGCCACACAAAAGCTAAGGACAGACATATTATTCCCCATGTCCTGCACCATTATATTAATAAATCCATTCATTCAATTCGATCAAGATAAAAACCTATTTAGGACTGGGTTTGTGTCCATCTCACATTGTGATGAAGCCAAAAGTGAAGAATAAAATGGGTCTACTTAGGGATGGAATGCCAGATTGTGTCCATCTACCGAACATGGTGAAGTGAGAAGTGACAAATAGGGACAACCAGCTAAATTGGCCAGATTGTTAATTTATTAACTATAAGGTTATAAGTTTGACTCCCAGCCGAAACAATCTATTGAGTATTGGCCTTTTTGGTTTGAACCGATCAGCTATGCACAACTTAATTTGGTTTATCGCATTCTGTTGGTCAGACTATTAACTTGAAAACTACAAGATTACAATTTAAGTTCAACTCTTAGTTAGAAACACCTATTAGTTTTTTTAGTTTGAATAGATCAATAATGGACAACCTAAATAAGCTGATTGACCTGATAATTCTTTAACAGTTAAGATTATCACAAGTTAATTTTACCCTTGGAGTAGTGACAACGGGTTTTCATCATTAAGAAAGGTGAGAAATTAAAGAAAATGGAAAGGAGTGAAGGAGGGGTTTAGGTAGTTAATTACCATCCAAGGGCAGTGAAAGCGAAAGGAAGGACAAGTGCTTGGACTCCGAGACCAGAGCTAAGGGTGTGGAAGGCGGCGTAGTAAGCGTTACCATTTCTGGATTCAGTGATGGGAAGCCATGAATCCTGGAGGTCAAGCTTGGTGAGCTGCCCAAGCTCTTCAAGGCATGCAATGGCCTTCTTCATGGGGCTGGCTATGGGGGTCGACATTAACCGAGACACCAAGGGGCTCTTCGGGGTTTTGGGCGCTGAGTGGATACATGGAGAGGGAGATTCAATCTGCAGCGGGAGAGGAGGTGGTGGTGTTGCTTGGCCGCCGCCGCCACCGCCGGCGGCACTTTGGCTTTTCATGGCCTCTGCAATTCCCTCCTTTCTCATGGTTTTCAAGGGAATGGATCGGAATTTCTCTATGACAAAAACCCAACCACCTAGCCAACTATATATAAGAGTGTAAAGGTTGCTTTAATTAATTTTAATTTTAATTTGATGAGAGAGTGAGAGAGTGGTCCATATAGGAATGTATAAATTTAGATTAAAAAAAAAAGTTGCTAATTATGCTCTGCAATCGTGTGAATCATGCAGTTGTAAAAACGACGTTATTTTACTTTTAAAAAAAATCATTTTCGATTGTCGTTAGTTACGCAAACATATGTTCATAATTTTATAATTTCACATTCTGAATGTATATGAAGTTATGGATGTGAGAGTTATGCATGCAATTCTTAATGTATAGTTATGAAGTTATGGATGTGTAGTTATGCATGCAATTCTTAGTATAGTTATGAAGTTATGTATGTGTAGTTATGCATGCAATTCTGAATGTATAGTTATGAAGTTATAATTTCACATTCTATGTATAACTATAAAATCATAAACTAAACGAAAGTATAACTTTGAAAAGCATAAACTAAACGAAAAACACTACTTATTACTCAATTATTAATGTTTTTGACACCATAAGCACTAAACCTGCGACACAATAAAATCAAGTCGTGTATGTTGGTCAACCATTTAAAATCTAACGGTGGATAATTAATTAAGAATTTGGTACCAATTTTCCTCTATTGCCAAAAAAGTTGTCGGAGGGTAGATTTGATGTATTCACCAAATCAAACCAATTTAAAATTAATTAGGTATTATAAATATAGCAAATTAAATTATACTTTTACTTATTAATAACCTGATGATGATACTTTATTCATTAACTATATGTTATAAATTTTAATTTACAATTTGTCATATAAAAAAAGTCTCCCACAAAATTATTATTGATTGTACTCAATAATAGTTGTGTGATATATTTTACCATAGTGTAAATTTTTAGTTGTGTTAGAGACATTTTGCATGCTTTGATATTAACTTGAAAAATATTTTTGATTTGAAATAAAATTTTATACTTACAATGACAGTAATAAATGAATATTTTATATATTTTTATCTTCTAACATTTGTCTTAAATATTAGATATCAAATTATCCATGCATCCAAATAATTCATCATTGATTCAATTAGATATTAAAAATATGAAACATATTCACTATAAGAAAAATCAAGGTTGGTAATGAAAAATTTCAAAGTAAATGGATGAAATTCATATGTATTTAATTTAATTTGCCGGTAATGTTGAATATAAGTTTGAAAGGTCAAATCAAGCATCCTGTCATCATAAAATGACATTGACTACTACATAAGTATAAAGAAATAAAATAATGTATTTACTACTAGCTATAATTT